AGAACTTCTTCAAGGGACTTTGATACCTAATCACTTTAATATCTATCAAGCCTTAACTGGGGGACAGGGCTACTTAGGAAGTCCAGGGCTTTAAAAATCCCAGCATAAAAAAACCCAGAGGAGCTAGTGAACTTGAGCAGCTAACAGGAGAATTTTGCAAGTGAGTTTAGATGGGGAATTTGAAGGGAGCTAGAAACACTTGCCATTCTCTAAACTTTTTAAAACTAAACTAAAACCAAACCTATATGCTTTAAATAAAACCCTATTTAAAAAGGAATTAGCTATAGGAGTAAAAAAGAAAGTGCGGGCATAATACCAGTAACGGGGCGAGGGCGAGGGCTAACCAGTTTATTGCACCAAATGGAGCATGCATGATTACCTGTCCTAAGTACATGTGGCATAAGTGTACATTCAGTGCAAGGAGCTCCTGGTATAGGTATAATGGTGCAGAGAGGAGGGGGTTAGATTTATTAGCAACTGTGGAAAGTATGAGGCTATACAGGAAGGATGGGCTTCATCTAAATAAAAATGGAACCAGATTGCTGGCACTTAAAAGTAAAAGTTTGTTGAGCAGTTTTTCAACTAATTGTTAGGGGAAAGTTGACAGGTGTAGAGGAGCACATGGACTGGACGAAGAGATCCCATGGGGATCCTCTATGTTCTAGGAAAGAGGAGAGGATGGACAATAATAAAATGTGTAAGATTTGATGAGAAACATTCCAGAAAGTCTTTGACTAAGTCCATCACCCAAGGCTCTTAAGCAACGTAAACAGTCCGTAATGGATTGATAACTGGCTAATGATGTAGGAATAAATAGTTTTCAGAATGGAGAAAAGTAACTAGTGGTGGCCCCTACAGGTCAAAACTGGGACCACTCCTGTTCAACATGCATATAAATTATTTGGAGAAAGGGCTAAACGGGAAGAGGAAAAAATTTGCAGATGAAAAAAAAACCTGCTCCAGGTAATTAAGTCTACAGCTGACTGTGAAGAGCTTCAAAAGGATCACAGAACTAGGTGACTGGGAAACAAAATGGCGGATGATTTTAAATGTTGATAAATGCAGAGTAATACATAGTGGAAAAGTTAATCCCAGCCAAACATATAAAATGACGGGGAATAAATTAGCTGTTAGCACTCAAGAGAGAGATCTTGAAGTCATTGTAGATAGTTCTCTGAAAACATTCCGTCAATGAGCAACAACAGTCAAAAAAGAAAAGAGTGTTGGGAATCATTACGAAAGGGATAGAGAATAAGAGAGAGAATATCTTACTGTCCTTATATAAATCCATAGTAAACCAACATCTTGAATACTGCATGCAGATGTGGTCTCCTTATCTCAAAAAGATACATTGGCATTGCAAAAAGTTCAGAGAAGGGTAACAAAAATTATCAGGGGTATGGAACAGTTGCTATATGAAGAAAGGTTAACAAGACTGGGACTTTTCAGCTTGGAAAAGAGATGACTAAGGAGGGATAAGATAGAGGTCTATAAAACCATGACTAATATAGCAAAAGTAAATAAAGAAGAGTTATATACTCCTTCCCATAACACAAGAACTAGAGTCACCAAATGAAATTAATAGGTAACAGGTTTAAAACAAAAGGAAATACTTCTTCACACAATCCACAACATGTGGAACTCCTGACCAGAGGTTGTTGTGAAGTTCAAAACTTCAACAAGAGGGGATGGATCACTTGATGATTACCTGTTCTGTTTATTCCCTCTGGGACATCTGACATTGGCCACTGTTGGAAGACAGGATACTGGGCTAGATTGGCCTTTGGTCTGACCTCAGTATGTTCTAACTGTGAATTATTTATTCATAATTATTTCAAAAGCACCCATCCTTTTACAGAATGTGCTACTCTCTAGTGAAGTGCTGGATGAAAATCAATTGGGAATAAACATAGAGTAGAAGTCAATACAGCAGACTTTTCATCTATGTGAGCTGAGAAGAATATCACTCTTTGAATGAAAACATTACTGAGAGACTATACCTGCAATTTCTACATGAGCAGAACAATCACTGACTTTAAATATTTTCCTTTGATAGAAGGAGGATGACACTGGATCACTTAATATGGCTCCTCCCCTCTATTTCTCACATGTAGGATATGGGAGGGAATAAAGGGATGCTGTAAAGGCTCTTAAACCTATGAAATTGGGGCTTGGAGCCAGTACAAATATTTCCTTTCATAGATTCAAGAGGCAGACTAAAGGAACAGGAGAGGAAAAGCTATGGAGCAGCCATTCTACATGACACGGTCTCCTCCAAAACTGGTAGTCATTCATCCTGGAAATCCAGAAAGAGTTAGTGATTATAGAAGTGAGAAAAAGCTGTAACTTCTATGCCCTCTCCACCCTTTATGAAGGAGGAATAGGGGGCAGCTGGGTGGGACCCATCAAGAGTAGCAGGCCTCCTATAAGAAGCCTCTGTCAGAGAAGAAGGGGAGCCTAATACAGCATGGCTGGATAACCCACTCCATTTTGGGGGGAGTTCCCTCCATTGAAAAACTAGTAAGGATCTGCATAATTTGGAGACTCTGCTTCATACCTCCCCTTCGAGAAGAGCATGGAGACTAAACTCAGAGGCTATGTCTAGACTACATGGCTCCGTCGACGGAGACATGTAAAATAGTTTATTCAGAATAGTCAAAGAAGCGCGGATTTAAATAATCCCTGCTTCATTAAAGTAAACATGGCCGTCGTGCTGTGCTGACGATGAGCTGATCCGGCACAGTGGGGCAGTCCAGATGCGCCGCAGTCGGCAAGGGAAGCCTTTGTCGACTACTCTGGTAAACTTTGTTTCATGAGGCATACCGGAGCGGTCGACAAAGGCTTCCCTTGTCGACTGCGGCGCATCTGGACTGCCCCACTGTGCCGGATCAGCTCATCGTCAGCACAGCACGACGGCCATGTTTACTTTAATGAAGCAGGGATTATTTAAATCCGCGCTTCTTTGACTATTCTGAATAAACTATTTTACATGGCTCCGTCAACGGAGCCATGTAGTCTAGACATAGCCAGAAAGGCTATCTTTCCCCCTTCCTGTGGTTTTGGTATGATACTGCCTCATGTGGCAAAATCAATCAACTTGCCTGGGCTATGCTGAAACATTCCAGAGTTGTATCCACAGCAGAATGGGTGGGGAAGGAGTGGGTTGAGGAAAAAAGGATTATAGTTTAGACACTGAGAACAGTATAGATCACTTACTTACTAGCTACATAATTTATTTTTCATTTGCAAGTGAAATGTGTTTATGCTGTACATTTCAAATATTCCAAAGTCTAAAATCCAGGATTTTAGTTCAGCCTGTCATAAAGATGTGGCACTTGAATCCGATTTTGGGTGCTTATCAAAAATTTAGAAAAGTTCTGTTCTGGGATTTTGGTTGAGGTCTACTTTTAAATTAAAGCATAAATACATTGGAATTCAGTGCTATCCAAAATTATTTACATTGATATATTACTTTGTAAGCCTTGATTCCAGTGGGAGTTTAGTTTGAGCATGGAATGCAGGATTGGGCTTTACATTACTAGTGGAGATGAATGTTTATAACAGTTTAACTTACTGCAAGAGGATGCAGCATGCACTCTTGCTTCTGTGGCCAGAGAGTCATCCATCATTGTGTGATAGCACAGGTAGGATGACCAAACTCTTTCATAAGGGAGCAACTGCCTCCCCTCTCCCTGTCCAGTACTCCTTGCCCTGGACATATGCCTGAAAGATTCCATAAACCACCCCTCACATTTAATTTCCAGTGCATTCAGACTCTCTTGTTACAAGTCAGCTAGAAAGTTTAGTTTGTCTACTCCATCTTACCTTGTGCTATTGACAAGCCCACATGATTTGTCCTTGAACCACACCATGAAAAAGCAGTAATTTAAAAAGTGAAAAAATGCTAAACTTAATTGTTTTATTCCTATAAAAATAGACTCCTTCATTGTGGATTATACTGGCAAATGTTGGATATTACAGCTCTTCGGCACCCTCGGTTTGCAATCCATAACTCAAGTAATGGTTAATTATGTTGCATAGGGTTGGAAATGCTTAAATATATATAGTCCTGGGGGATAATGGCTTGCTATAATACAATTTTTATTTGATTTTCATTGTAAGCATAGACCAGGAGAGAGCGAACAGGAAAAAGGTGAAACCAGACTTTGTTATGTCTAACACAGTAATGATCCAGATTCTCAGCAGGTGCAAATAAGTATTGTTTCATCAGAGCTAGCTGAAGACTGGGCTAAATGGTGTGTGGATTTTGTGCTTGTGATAGTTGCCAGCCCTAGAGAGTGAAGTTTTCTCTTTGTCACACATCAGGTATGTCGCAAGCCATGCAGTTTCCCTCATTAACCCATGCACCGTGGTGCAGCAAACACTGTCCATCTGAGCATGTTAACACACCAGATTACACTTGAATCTCTGTACTCTGGGTGAGCCTAATGCAGGAACACTTGTGGTATGGAAGAAGAAGTGACTACGTGTGCAGTTTCTCCCTCTCCCCCCTAGCTGTGGGGGCGGGGGAGGGGGTGTGTGGCACGCAGAGCTGCTTTCCCTGAGACTTTTCCTTGTCATTCACATAGCACTAGGGGACAGTGCCTGGGAGCAGCAAGGAGCATGGAGCCACGTGCGTCCTTGGAAGGGGGGGCAGAAAGTAAGCATCCCACTCGCACCCCCTCACACCCAAATCCCACAGCACCCTCCCTGGCCTGGCAGAATCTTTCATCTTGTATACTCTGGTGCCCAGGCTGGATGGTAGAGTATGGGAGACCACGTTGGGGACTCAGGAATATTGGTTTATTCCCAGCTCTGCTACAGCCCTGTTGTTTGTTATTGGGTTTGTCACTTCATCTTCCTGTGGCTCTGTTTCCCTATGTATAAAACAGCTATAATCAACACTGCCTTGTTTTGATAGCTATGGATCTGTCAGAGCTAAGTATTATTATTATTATTATTATTATTATTAATTATTTATTTTTATATCATTTTTAAAGGCTCTATTGAAATGTGGACTGCTTGCCTATACAGGAGAGTAAGAGGTAAGAATCCCATTACACTCAAGTATGGACTGCCTGGACAGGCAAGCTGGAGTAAGCATGATTGAGGTGGAGGATTTGTTGATTTTGAGTGGTAAAGTACAAGAAGTAGCAGAGTTGGTTCCTTTATTGGCAAAACAAAATGTATCGGCCCCTAATCACCTTATATGTTATGTGATGAGCCTTTTAATAGGACAGTGCTAGAGTTTCTGCATGTTGTATTTTCTCTCTGCTCACTTTGCCTCGTCTGCTGGCACAAACCTTACAAATGCAAAAAAATGATGCTGTGAATGGGACTCTGCATTAGATCTTATTTCTAAGGACCCACTTCTTGCTTATGCGGGACACATTTATTTTCTGACTAGAGGAAAATTCCTTTTCCTCCCAACAGACAGCGTGTACAGTGTGTGTAACCTCTGCCGCAGTGGAACATTTTAGTCATCCTTCTACTAAAGCAAGTAGGCATCTCACATCCTGCCAGCCTCACTTGTTTAATAAATTTGATTTAAAGCAATGTGCATTTTTGAGTTACCAACACTTTGCCTTGTGCTTTATGAGCTCAAGCAAAGCGCCACAAGCTCTTCTAGCTACTGGGTGATAGCTCCAAGTGGCTTAATAGGAAAAATATGGTGCCCTGTTGAAAGGTTGACAAATAACTTGTGGAAAAAAATGTCATTCACTGGAATACTCTGGAAAATCTTTCATCTGCTGGTCACAGTGAAAATCACTGTGATCCGAATGTAGGCAGAATATATCTCCACAGTCCTAAAAGACTGGAAAACATGGTATTTTACACTGCTGTGGATGAGTGATGATAAATAAGTGTGTAGGAGTAGAGAACATGCTGGAGTTTTGAAGACTTATATGACCTTCAAGTTAAAGGCTGGAGGGGAAAAAAGGAAATCTGGTTGACAATTATATTTTATGATTCTTTTCCTTGGGGTGTAATAAGGGGATATAATCCTTTCAGGTCAACGGGGAGATCTTAATTCCAATATTCTGCTTTTCTTTTATATACATACATATAAGAGCATGATCTAGTTGTATCTCTGTGATTAATTTTTGCTTAAAACAGCTATAATCAACACTGCCTTGTTTTGATAGCTATGGATCTGTCAGAGCTAAGTATTATTATTATTATTATTATTATTATTAATTATTTATTTTTATATCATTTTTAAAGGCTCTATTGAAATGTGGACTGCTTGCCTATACAGGAGAGTAAGAGGTAAGAATCCCATTACACTCAAGTATGGACTGCCTGGACAGGCAAGCTGGAGTAAGCATGATTGAGGTGGAGGATTTGTTGATTTTGAGTGGTAAAGTACAAGAAGTAGCAGAGTTGGTTCCTTTATTGGCAAAACAAAATGTATCGGCCCCTAATCACCTTATATGTTATGTGATGAGCCTTTTAATAGGACAGTGCTAGAGTTTCTGCATGTTGTATTTTCTCTCTGCTCACTTTGCCTCGTCTGCTGGCACAAACCTTACAAATGCAAAAAAATGATGCTGTGAATGGGACTCTGCATTAGATCTTATTTCTAAGGACCCACTTCTTGCTTATGCGGGACACATTTATTTTCTGACTAGAGGAAAATTCCTTTTCCTCCCAACAGACAGCGTGTACAGTGTGTGTAACCTCTGCCGCAGTGGAACATTTTAGTCATCCTTCTACTAAAGCAAGTAGGCATCTCACATCCTGCCAGCCTCACTTGTTTAATAAATTTGATTTAAAGCAATGTGCATTTTTGAGTTACCAACACTTTGCCTTGTGCTTTATGAGCTCAAGCAAAGCGCCACAAGCTCTTCTAGCTACTGGGTGATAGCTCCAAGTGGCTTAATAGGAAAAATATGGTGCCCTGTTGAAAGGTTGACAAATAACTTGTGGAAAAAAATGTCATTCACTGGAATACTCTGGAAAATCTTTCATCTGCTGGTCACAGTGAAAATCACTGTGATCCGAATGTAGGCAGAATATATCTCCACAGTCCTAAAAGACTGGAAAACATGGTATTTTACACTGCTGTGGATGAGTGATGATAAATAAGTGTGTAGGAGTAGAGAACATGCTGGAGTTTTGAAGACTTATATGACCTTCAAGTTAAAGGCTGGAGGGGAAAAAAGGAAATCTGGTTGACAATTATATTTTATGATTCTTTTCCTTGGGGTGTAATAAGGGGATATAATCCTTTCAGGTCAACGGGGAGATCTTAATTCCAATATTCTGCTTTTCTTTTATATACATACATATAAGAGCATGATCTAGTTGTATCTCTGTGATTAATTTTTGCTTGTAGCCAATTTACCAATATTTGTGCAAAACCAATTTGTGCAAAAACCAGAGGAGTCTTGAGTGCTAATCAATAAGCACTCTTGTGTCTTTTGGCCCACTACAAATATTGTTCAATAGTCGTAGGCTACATCTAGACTACAAGCCTCTTTCGAAAGAGAGCGTCTAGACTGCAACCACTCCTTTCGAAAAAGCAAGCTGCTTTTTCGAAAGAGAGCACACAGGCAGTCTGGATGCTCTCATTCAAAAAAGCCCTGTTTGCAGTCAAGAATGCCTTTTTTCAAAAGAGCACTTTCGAAAAAAAGGTGTTCCTCCTCGTAAAATGAGGTTTACTGTCGTCGAAAAACCGTCTTGTTTTTTCAATTTAATTTCAAAAGAACTCGGCGGCAGTCTAGACGGAGGGGAAGATTTTTAGAAAAAAGGCCCCTTTTTTCGAAAAAACCCTGTAGTCTAGACACACCCCTAGTGTCCACAATTCTTGCAATAGTTGATACAGGGGTGGGGAGATTTGGTTAAAATCTCAGCTCTCAAAATTCTGTTATTGTGAAGATATCAGATTCATTTTTTTAACCAAGTAAGGGGCTAGCTTTTATGGTTGCAAATAAAAGTTTCAATATAGGGCCCTAGTGTATGATGAAGATTTGAAAGCCAGATGGAATATAATAAAAAATGGCACATTTAGATTCTTGTTTCAAAATCTCCTAATATTTGAACCAATCTCATAATTTTTTGAGGACCTGATTTATGATTTTGACCATTTGGGCATATAATCTTTATTCTCATGTGGGAAAGAAATTCAGATTTTTTTTTTTTTTTACTTATAGCCATATTAGTTTATACAAAGTAGTGCTTACTCTTTAATTCAGTCGAACTTTTCACAAAATGAGGTATGAATACGGGTGACAGATTCTGGCCCCCTAAATCTTACTAACATTTATTCAAAACTACCAGGTAATGCCTATAGTTGCCTGGGGAAAGCTATTTTTGCATAGATTACACTTATAGGAAAGTTCAAGAAATTAAATGTATGAAATTTTTTTATTCATATGCTTGCAAAAGGGAAGTAAAACCAGTTTTAAATTTGTAGGATTTCAACTTCACACATTGTTCACTTAATTTAATAATTACCATACATAGTAAATTTGAATCAGAAACTCTTAATGAGTGAAGAAAATTAACTGCTGTTGGTCTAAATAAAAATTGAAATAAAAAGTAAAATTGAAATAAATCACTGGTGCATCAAAATCTTCAGATAATTATGTCAAACAATCAATTCTGATTCTTTATCATATTTATAATATTAATAGATAATATGTGAATGCATTCTTAAAGTAAATAACAAAACAAATATGAACACCAAAAAGGTAACGCCTATTATGTAAAGCTTGCATTACTCTTTCCATAACAAATTTGAATTATTTTGTGATTTTTAACAGTAAAAATTTTCTTTGCAATAAAATGACAGTTGAATAGATGACTCAATTTTAATTTTGTTAGCAAATATTTTTATGAATTCTGATCATAATAATCATGATTTTTTCCAATGAGAAACAAAAATAATTATTTAAACCTTTTACCTAGCATCTTCCCATGTAAAAAGTGGTGCATTTAGTTAATTTAAGTTAATTTATGCAAATTTGGTATCCATAGGTAATCATGAAGTATGACTTTATTTTGCACAAACAAATCCACAAACAAACTCTTCAAAATATATAGTAGATCCAATCTTATTTATTCTTCTTTTCCTCTACCCAGATGTAGGTGAGATATTTTCATGGCATAATGAGTGTTGTGCTATCACAGAGGATAAGGGTCAGCTATCAAAGGGAGTATGATACTGTAGCCACAACAGATCCTGCCTGGAATGTTTTTGTTGTTGTTTTTGCTTTTTTCTTCTGCGTAGGTTTGGGAAAAATCACTGAATCTCTCTGGGTTCAATGTGTAAAAAAGATCTTACAACTGCTTTTCATATCTTGCAGGAGCATTGTGATCCCAATACAAAAAAGGACAAAACTGCTGGTAATCCCTTTGAAGTTTACCTTTGACTATGCTGAATTCAACACCCTTGGTTTGGAACAATAGAAAGGGGAATCCAGGCTGGAAAACTGGAACAAAGAACTTTGGAGTAGGTAAAATTCTGTGCGTCTGAGAAATAAGGGGGTAACAGACTGAATCCCGGCTGCAAAAGTGGGAGTGGCTGGATAAACTAAAGCAACTTAGATTTAAAGTACAACAGATGCACGTAGGTGTGTTAAAAAAAATCCCTTTCTTGTCCTGCTTTAATTCTTCCTCTTGAGTTTAAACAATACTGTGCTTTGACAAGACTATTTATGTCACTGTACTGCAGCTCTGGCTACAGCTCTTATAAGGAAGGATTGAACCCAGCTATGATTAATGAGGAATCATAGAGGCTGGTATACAGAATGCTGAATCCCAGGGGACCCAGACTGAGGCTATGTCTAGACTTCAGGCTTCTTTGGGAAAAGGCTTTTTTCAGAAGAGATCATCGGAAAAAACTTCTTCCGAAAAAGAGCGTCCACACACAAAAGCGCACTGAAAAAGCGACGAGCTTTTGTGAAAGAGAGCGCCCAGAATCATTGGGCACTCTCTCACGTAAAAGCCCACCCGGAACCATATCAACCAGGGCTTTAGGTAACCAGTTGTTTCCAAGGGCTGGTGCCAGAGCCTTTCAGAGACACGCACTTAAAGGGACC